GAGTTGTTCTCTGGGCTCAATGGACTTGTGTAGGAGAAGTAGGAGTCTATGGGCCGGGGGTTCCTGGGCCATATACTCCATCAACAACTGAATATTAGACACATTAAAAATGAGTTTTATATTAAACTCAGATGAGTATACGCCTCAAAGAAACGAACATACACAACTAAATATTAAACACATTAAAAATGAGTTTTATGTTAAACTTAAATGAGTATAACGCCAAAATCAATGAGCATACACAAAATGAGATTTTGAATTTTTTGATACTCATTTTGTAAATTATGTGTGTTCATTTTGTACTGCTTTTATGCTCATTTTAAAATGATGCACATATCAAATATAACGCCCAAAATTAATGAGCATACACAAATGAGCTTTTAAATTTTTTGATACTCATTTTGTAAATTATGTATGCTCATTTGGTATTGCTTTATGCTCATTTTAAAATGATGCATATATTAAATATAACGCCCAAAATCAATGAGCATACACAAATGAAGTTTTGATTTTTTTGATACTCATTTTGTAAATTAGGTATGCTCATTTGGTACTGGTTTATGCTCATTTGAAAATGATGCACATATCAAACATATCATACTACAATAGATTGACATATTGAAATCAATTACAAACACAATTTAAGAATTTTTTAAAAACGGAAATTAATAAAAAGAAACTGAATTAGAAGGTATGAAGCAGAGACCACGGGTGCTCATAGTTAGGCTCTTAATACTCAGAAGAACAGACTTGATGCTCAATAAAATTACATCAATGCTCATTTACGACAAATCGTGAACTTCGTCAAAATTACAAAAATGCCACCGACTGTAGGGTGCCCAGCCGTACAGCCGGCTGGAGTTTTTTTCCGTATTAATGTTAATTAATTAATTAATTACGAAAATAGGGTTGGGTTAAAAGTATTTACCAAAATACTGCTGGGTTAACCATGGTCGGGGTAAGTCGCCCAACGGTTGGGCGACTTATAAGTCGCCAAACGGTTTGGCGACTTATAAGTCGCCCAACCGTTGGGCGACTTTCCCTTAAGTAAAAATCGGGTCTCGCCCAAAACAGAACACTTCACAAAAGCCTCCCCCAACTGAAAGTAGCTGCTGCGACGGACGAAGAAGAAGACGGACGAACCGCCATCTCCAACTCCGGCGCTCCTCCATCTCCGGCGACTCCACTCCGGCAACCCTCCATCTTCATCTTCAACACTCTTTACTCCTTATTCTAGGTAAATCCAAATCCATTTCATATAATTTTGCACTTAGGGTTTAGAATGTTAATTGTTTTTTTAATTTTGGGATTATGAATTGATTGTGAATGAAGTTGTTGTGAAATGTGAATATGTATGAAATGTTGAAATTTGATTTTAAATTGTTTGTAAATTGTAATGTGTATTTTGACATTTGGGCATTTGGGTATAGTTGAATGTACCTAAAATTGGGTATTCAAAGGTAGACATTGAATGTAGATATCAAAATTTGGGTTGTTTGTTATTGAAATGTGAATTGTTTCTGAATTTGGAGTTAATGATATATTACAATTTTGGAAGCAATTTCTATTAAAAATGTGAATGTGTATAAAGTGTGTATATTGATGCCTACTCATGAATGTTGGACAATGAGTTGTTATTAGAAGATGGATTTCTCAAGCTTCCCACTCGTGTGTCATTGGGGAGGGAACTATTATGAGAATGGTGGGCAAATATGCCATGAAGGTGGCAGAACGAGCTTTGTCATGGTTTCTCGTGGCGCTTGCATGGTCGAGATCCTTCAAAAAATACATGCAGCGACAATGATTCATCCCGGCCGTTCATTGCGGTTGAAAATGAAATTTCCCATGAACGGGGGAAAGTACATGCTTATGCCGCTCATTGATGAGCTAGCTATAACAAATATGTGGGGCATAATTCAGATGGAGGATATGTCGTCGCTGGAGGTATACATTGAGGAATGCTTTGACGCTAATGCTACTCAATCGACATCAAATGCTGGTGTATCTAGGCATGATGTCATTGCAGGGGTGAATGCAGGGAAGTCGTCAAAGGTTCCTGTACTAGACATGGTTATACAGGAGGATGGCAGGTATTTGCACAACGGTGCGTCATTTGTGGATGGGCAGGGAAGTGATGATGATGCAGACGAGAACATCAATGGTGACGACATGACAGAATCTGATGAAGATGATGGTGATACTGTGACATCAACTGCCCCGTCTAGCCACTTCACTAGAATGTATGATCTCCCTGAAGGTTTTACTGATGCGTGGATGAGTGGATCAGGTGAGAAAAGGTTTACCCCCGATGGTGAGTTTGAGGTCGGTCAACAGTTTGACAACAAAGAACAAGTCATCAATATGGTGAGCTTGTATTCTATCAAACAGAACCAATTCTATCGGGTGATAGAGTCCGATAAACACAAATGGGTGGCACAATGCAAAAGGAAGAAAGAATGTCAATGCCCCTGGAGAATACGCGCCACAAAGAACAAAGGCAACCTTGACACCTTCACAATTGTGCGTTATTCTGGACCTCATTCTGCTTCTTGTGTAGGCAACATCGACACTACAGATCACGTGGCCTTGACATCAGAATTCATCTGTAAAGATGTGGTTGACATTATTCGCACTGATCCTTCTCTTAAAGTGCATACTATCATCGAGATGTTGAAGGAAAAATATGGGTATACGGTATCTTACCGGAGAACATGGATGGGGAAGCAAAAGGCCATAGCACAAATATTTGGCGGTTGGGAAAAGTCATATTTCGAATTGCCCCGTTTCATGACAGCGCTCCAACATTCTAATCCAGGAACTGTTGTTCAGTGGTACCCACCCCCTAATGGTGCGACAGGTTATATGATGTTTCAAAGAGTATTTTGGGCATTCAAGGCATCAATATCTGGTTTTAAGCATTGTCGACCCGTACTTACTATTGATGGCACACACATGTATGGAAAGTACAAGGGCACATTGCTCGTGGTCATGGGTTGTGATGCGAACAACCAAATTTTCCCAGTTGCCTTTGCAGTTGTTGAATCCGAGAATGGAGACAGTTGGCCATGGTTTATGGCATGTATTAGGCATTTTGTGACTAACAGGGAGTTGTGTGTCATTTCAGATAGACATGGAGGTATTGTTAGGGCAATGAATGAGGTTGGAAGTAATTGGGAGGAGCCTTATGCGCATCATAGGCTATGCATCCGTCATCTTGCTTCAAATGTGCACACTCATTTCAAAGAGTGTGGACCCTACGGCAACATCAGAAAAAAAAATTTGATGGTGGGTTCAAGAAGATAGGTGAAATGAGTAGGGATGCACGACAATTTTTGGCCAACATTCCTCCAGAAATGTGGTCGCTGCACCATGATGGCGGGTACAGATACGGTACCATCACTTCAAATCTGGCTGAGGTTTTCAATAACGTCATGAAAAATGCTAGATATTTGCCCATTACCGCCTTGGTCCAGGTGTCTTTTTACCGGGTTAATGCGTACTTTGTGAATAGGCGTGAAACTAGTAAGTTGAGGCTCACACAAGGCCACGAGTATTCCCCATACATCACAGATTTAATTGAAAAAAATAGAGAGAAGACAAAGCATCACATTGTCACTCCTTTTGATTTAGGGCGAGGTATATTTCAGGTGGAGACCGGTTGTGGTGGCAGAACGTTGGGAAAGGGTGGGAGAAAACAAACTGTCCATCTACAACGGAAAACGTGCACTTGCAAAAAGATGGAGATATACAAGATTCCTTGCTCCCATGTATTAGCCGTGTGTAGACAACGTAGTTTGTCTTATGCTCCATTTGTGGATAAGTTCTTCTCTTCTGACCAATACGCCGCCACGTATCATAGGGTGTTCAAACCGATTCCTGATCGTGATTATTGGCCCAATTACAATGGACCCAAAATCGTGCACGATCCATTCATGCTTCGGGCAAAGGGAAGACCAAAGTCGACCCGTATTAAGAATGAGATGGATGAAGGCCCACGAGGAACGGTTAGATGTGGAAGATGCCACCAAACCGGCCATAATAGAGCGACATGTGCAAAGAGATCATCTAGACAAGAGGGGGGATCCGCCGGGTATGTGTATATTTAGAGTCAATCATAATTCATTATTTCCTTGCAAGGAAAATTAATAAATTCAAAAAAGGAAGTTAAAAAAAAATTAATACATTATACAATTACAACTAATACAATTAGAACTAATACAAATTTTGTTTGTAGGCATGGAGGTGATAGCGGATCCTGGGCCGAGTGATCCTTCTGTCCTGACACTGCAGGCCTCACACAGGAGTGAGGATGTTTGGCTTGGCATGGATGTGCAGGTTGATAGGTGCCGCGAGCATCTGCGGGGTTTGTCCCATTTACATGTCGACCCCAGAGTCCTAGCATATGTTTGTGCAGCAGTTTTTTTTACACTGCACAGGTTAGTGGCTACTGTGCCTTTAGATAGAGCCCTCCTCACTGCTCTACTTAAGCGTTGGAGGCAGGAGACACATTCATTTCACCTCCCTGTTGGTGAGGTCACTGTGACATTGGGAGATGTGGCTGTACTGACCGGGTTAGAGGTTGATGGGAGAGCTGTTACAGGCACTGCTTGTCGACAGTGGGTGGATGAGTGTGAGAGGTTGTTAGGCATCCGCCCCGTTCTTAGGGCTGACCTTCAGGGGTCATCTCTTAGGATGCCATGGTTGAGGGAGCACTTCCAGGCCCTTCCTCCCGACGCTGATGAGATGATCATCCAGCAGCATGCTCGGGCGTATATATTGATGATGATGGGAGCCTCCATTTTCGCTGACAAGAGCGGAAATGAGGTTCAGGTGCTACACCTGCCTTTGCTGGAGAGGTTTGATGTAGCAGCACAGTTTAGCTGGGGTAGTGCCACCCTGGCTTATCTCTACAGGCAGCTGTGTCGCGGGTGCCAGAGAGGGAGCACAGAGCTGGGGGGATTTTTGCTACTCCTCCAGATTTGGTCATGGGAGTATATCCACATTGGCCGTCCCATTATAGTTGGATATCATGGCATTGATGGACAGCCACTGCCTGATGAGCCTCCACGTCTGCTAGGACCACATCATGTACGGGGCGTGGACCCTCTAGGCCGTCGGTATGTTTTCAATCGTTTGTATTTGTGTTAGTTTTTGTTGAATGTAAATGCATTAATAAAATCCATATTATTGATATTGTAACATTAATGGTTAGGTGGCTATATGCTGGTTTATCTCGCATGTCATCCGCTACTGGCCTCGGTGTGTACATGGATGCATTGGATCGGATGTCAGAGGACCAGGTATGGTGTGTGTAGTATAACAATAACTACAATAGGTGTAGAATAAATACTAATTTTGTATGTTTACGACACAGATCACATGGATGCCGTATAGACCTGATATGTTAGCAGAGTTGCCCCCAGCTGGACGAGAGCAGACTCACATATGGCGAGCACGTGTGCCGCTGATATGTTTTGACATTGTTGAGCTTCATTTGCCTGATAGAGTCATGCGACAGTTTGGGTTTGAGCAGGTCATTCCACGTCCTATCGACACTTATGTAGAGCTGCATAAGCTGGATAGGCGTGGGAAGCATACAGAGGATTGGGCACTCAGACATGTCCGATACGTGACTATGTGGGATAGGAGAGCTGAGCTAGCCGTGGCTGGGACACCCACATATGTGCCATCAGTTTCAGGAGATTACATGGGATGGTACTACAGCATCACTCGGTTGTTTGTGTCTCCTTCGTTCAGACTCCCTACTCATCATTATCAGCCTAGCTCATTGGCATTGCATCTTACGGTGAGTATATTACTAATTAGTAAAGTAAGTCATTTTATTTATGTAATACTTGTATGTATTTCAATGTAATTGTAATTGTGTTTCGTATTGCAGACACAAGCTTTGCAGCGCATACATCAGCGGGCTACTGCCACTGTGACTGATATTCCTGATGTGGACATGTATGGACAGACTCTGACAGGCATTGCCTCGTTATGCTCAGATGTGTTGGGTCGAGTAGACTACGGACATCTTATACACATGCCCGCATCTCAGGAGATGGCATCCACGTCTAGTGCAGCCGCGGCTTCATCATCCCAGACGCAACATGAGAGAGTGGTTCTTCAACCACGACAACGCCGTAGGCGTAGACATGAGCAGCAACATCTCCATGACGAAGCTGATTGATGGGAACTTGTAGTTTGTCTTTTGTATTGTAGTTTTTCTTATGCAATAGATGTTGTAGGAACAATTTACAAGTTTTGATGTATTTTCTCTTGTTAAGTATTCTATGTTGTATTGATGTGTTCGAGTATGAATATTACATGATTATTTGTTATGGCATATATGATGATTGAACTGTGTTATACCGGTTATGATTTGAAAGTTTTTTAGCGGTGTTTATAAGGTGTTTTTTATGTTGTTGAGAGTAGGTGATTATCATGTGTTGTATCTAGTTTGTAACACTTCAAAAGGAGAAAGGAGACCTTATTTGTAGCAAACAGATCGGATTGGATTGAACCAGGGCGAAAAACAAGCTGATTTGGTGTTTTAGGTAATAGGCACGATCGTGCCTAAGGAAATAGACACGATCGTGCGTGGCTGGCAGTAGCTGTTTGCTTGGAACCATATTTCAGGGCAAAGTCGCCCAACCGTTGGGCGACTTATAAGTCGCCAAACCGTTTGGCGACTTATAAGTCGCCCAACGGTTGGGCGACTTTGTCCTGACCACGGTTAAGGCCAACAGTATTTTGGTAAAAACTTTTTTTCCAGCATTATTTCCGTAAATAATTAATTAATTAACATTAATACGGAAAAAAACTCCAGCCGGCTGTACGGCTTCCCCGTTAAATGGTTTTAAATTAAATGAAGCTTTTTCTATTGAAGAATGGATTGAACAAATAGATAGCGAACCTATTTTGTGCCATACGATAAAATACCATTTGCCCGTTCACCCTTGTTTTGGGTCCGATATTAGGGTTTGGGCAACGAGGAATTGCTTGTGCTTTTTACATGGCGGATCGGAACAGCAATTCTGCGCTGGTGGTGAAGCCGATATGGGTGAAACACGCTGAGGAGGCTAAGTTGAAGAGTGAAGCGGAGAAAACCGCGGCCGCAAAGGCTGCCTTCGAGGCTACTTTTAAGAATGTCGATCCCTCAACCGCAGTCGCAACCGCAGCTTCGGACAGCGATTATGAGGAAGAAGAGGACGAAGACAGGCTTGCCAAGAAGCCGATCGGACCCCTGGACCCCAACAAGTGCACAGCGGCTGGGCCTGGCATAGCTGGCGGCGCGGCGTGCGCACCCTCCACGTTTACAGTTGTTACTAAGGACGCTGACGGTCGCAAATTGCTCAATGGTGGGGCGCAGGTTAGGGTGAAGGTTGCTCCTGGAGTAGGAGTTGGCGGCTCCGAACAAGAGGGGATCGTTAAGGATATGAATGATGGGACGTATAGTGTGACCTATGTTGTTCCAAGCAGAGGAAATTATATGGTGAATGTGGAGTGCAATGGAAAGCCAATCATGGGCAGTCCATTTCCCGTTTTCTTCAGTACTGGTATTTTTATGACCTGTATCTCTTATCTCTTATATCTGACGATGGTAATTTGTGGATTTTGGATTTTGGGGGTGTTTGGAACTGATTCTGCTTCTGCTTTTTTTTTAAAAGCAAAAGCAGAATCAGAATCAGTTTTCAGAAGCTGGTACCCCCAGCTTCTAAAAAAACTGATTCTGAGAGTAAATTAGAGCTCCAGAAGTGCTTCTGGAATTTCACTCAAACACTCCAACTTCTACTTCTGCTCCCTAACACTCCAACTTCTACTTCTGCTCCCTGAAAGAGCAGAATCAGTTTTGAGAATCAGATCCAAACACCCCCATATACATACTGTTCTTAATCTTTTTACATGTAATAAAAAAAATTGGAAAGTAAAAGAATAGTTGCGCCATGGTGATGAGTTATTGGGTTGATTTTTGTAGAGTAAAGAAACATTCTTGTTCTTCTCGTTTCTTGGAGCATATCAGTTCATCCTATTAGTGCTATGGAAACACTTCTTCTATCAAGCACATGTTTTCTCCTCGAGAATCCTCTATTAAGCACAAGTTGGCTTTTCAAGAACTACCAAACAGCTCTAGGAAATTCTACAGACTTGTTGCAAATACGTATAGCTTCAGTAGGTCAAAGTTTCTGAGTGCTACATATGATTTTTAATTCATAATTTGATTTTAGTTTGATTTCAAAAAGTATAGGTTAAATTATTTAATAGGCCCTTTTAGTATTCCAAATCTTTCTAAATCTTTCAACTTAAAAAGTATCAAGTAAGCGATATGGATGCTTACTAGGGCTAGCAATACCACATACGGCACCTCTCCCAAGTATCTATCTGACATGCATGCCTTTCCTAAATTTCTAGACCTTGTTTGCATGCTCCTACCAGGCTACTACTGACTTACCTCATTCCAGTTCACAACCATTAGTTCTTCCACTAATACTGTAATACTTCCACATAGCTCATAGCCCCTCAAGACCTATCCCCCATGGCTCCTCCATTCCATATGTATCCAACATCTCAAGCATCAATTAATAGATTCATGTGATCAATGTATTTTTCTTGTGTTCCAAAGCATTACCATATTCAAGATTAGGGGTGTTTGGATCTATTTTTTAAAAATGCTTGAAACAAATATTAGAGTGTTTGGGTGAAAGTGTAGAAGTACTTCTGGGTGCTCCAAATTGTTCCTAGAAGCAGTTTTTTAGATGTTTGGGGAGACTAGCTTCTGAAAAATTGGTTATGGCAGTGCTTCTACTTTTAAAAAAGAAGCAGAAGCAGAATCGATTCCAAACACCCCCTAAGTAAACTTTGTGTAGGTTTCAAATTTGTAAATCGTAATTATCAATAGTAATTCAAATATTATTGGAGGAGTTAACATTAAATTAGTCATACCTAGTAAACCATAATTGGCAAACCAATATGGGACGGAGTTTGTATTCTATAACCATTATTCTCACTTATATTGGCACTTTTATCTGCAGCAGTTCCGATTTGAAATAAAAATATATAGGGTGCCTTATTATTAAATTTCATCAGTCTTTTGTCTTTCCATGAACAGTTGAACATTATAACTTAATCATTTCATTTTTTAAAATATTGAGTTGGAGAGTCATTTATTTGTGACCAAACAGTCTTTATTAACTCCACTAATTATCTGGCATGTGGATGCAATTTTACTCTCATGTCAATATGTCATAATGGTTTTGAACATCTATAACTTACTGCAAAATGTTCGGCTTTAAATTATTCCTCAGTCACAACATATTGTGTGTGGGTCTAAGTTTTCTTTCTTCTATGCATCAGGATCAACTACCGGAGGGCTATTGGGTGTTGCCCCACCAACAATTTATTCGAATATGATTAATCAGACAATGCCAAATATGCCAAATTACTCTGGCTCTGTTTCTGGAGCAGTCCCTGGGTTGCTTGGGATGATTCCAGGCATAACTCAAGGAGCATCAGGCGGTGTCATTTTACCCGGAGTTGGCTTTTCACTTGGGGAAGTTTGCCGTGAATATCTTTATGGACAATGTGCCAAAACTGATTGTAAGTTTAATCATCCACCTCACAATCTTCTAATGACTGCCTTAGCTGCCACCAGCAGCATGGGAACACTTAGCCAGGTTCCTATGGCACCTTCTGCTGCTGCAATGGCTGCCGCTCAGGCAATTGTGGCTGCACAAGCACTTCAAGCCCATGCTGCCCAAGCACAGGCTCAAACAAACTCTGCAAATGACACCTCAGGTACCATTCACTCTCTTTATCTTATTTTTATTTTAATCTCTACATCTAAAATTAATTTAATTTGAATCAGATTTTTTTACATTTACCAATATTCAATAATGTAAAGGGAAGGTCATGTTATTTTTCATTTGGATGTACTGTAATGTCTTTATTGGTTTTCCTTAACTAGATTATTTTAGGCTTGCTGTAGAACTGCATAAATGCAGATTCCATCACTTCACTATCGTTACATATAGTGTCACATTCTTTTTCTACTAAAATAAGTATTCCTTGTCTTCATTCCTTTATTTTTAAGTATTTCATTATTACATCTTATGATTGCATGTACTGTTTGCTTCCATTAGGATCTGCTGGGAAAGAGACAGCGGCCAATTGCCTTAAGAAAATTGTGCAAGTTAGCAACCTTAGTCCACTTCTAACTTTGGATCAGTTGAAGCAACTCTTTGGGTTTTCAGGAACAATTGTTGATTGTAGCATTACTGAGTCGAAGCACTTAGGTTACGTAGAATACTCTAAGCCAGAGGAAGCAACTGCTGCTTTGGCGTTGAACAATATGGAAGTTGGTGGACGGCCCTTGAATGTTGAAATGGCTAAACAACTTCCTCCAAAACCAGTCACTTTAAATTCCTCTAGCACATCATCTTCTTTGCCTTTAATGATGCAGCAGGCTGTTGCCATGCAACAGATGCAATTTCAGCAGGCTCTCCTAATGCAACAAGCATATACTGCTCAGCAGGCTGCCAGTCGAGCTGCAAGCATGAAGAGTGCTACTGATCTTGCAGCTGCTAGAGCTGCAGAAATAAGTAAAAAACTAAAGGCTGATGGACTTGTCACTGAAAGCATGGAAACATATGAGAAATCGAAGTATGTCTTGTTTGTTTCTCCAATTTTTTTTTGTCTGCATAAGTTAATTGACATTGTTGTCCCAGAGTGTCACGCTTCTGTTATATGTCATCATCTCCAATTTATTATCCTGTTAACTATAATCAGTGTCATTTAGATCTTTAAGTCCGTAATTTCTCATTATCAACAAAGCAAGTTCTGCTCGTTTAATAATAACACTGGGAAGTTTAGCTACACCTATAAAATCAGTGCTTTTCTGTGCACAGAGATCATTCTAAGTGTGTGTCAGTTCACAACCACGCTGGGCCGGAACCATAACTGGGTTTGCAAAAAAATTAGAAACCGGAAATCGAACTGGACATATTGCTGTTTTTATGCAGAACCAAACCAGTTTAACCAGTTCAAGACTGGAACTGGAACAAAAAACCAGTTTCTATTTTTTTTTACAAATATACTACTAATATTTTGGTCAAGATGGAGTATTTATTATGGAAAATATTACTACTATGACTTCTATAAATGTGTGTGTGTGTGTGTATCACTCACTCATTTTCCTTGGTCCTAGTTCTATAGAGAAAGGATTGGAACAATTTGAGTGTAGAATAGTAAAAATTAGTTATTTTTATTATCAAAGCAATAAGAATAAATGGATAGATAATAACATTAGGATAATTTATATAACTACTTATACTTACATTAGGATTAAACTGTGTATATTATATATATATCATAATCATTATTTTTTAGATTGTTATTTTTATTATATTTATTATTTTTTAACTACTTTGTATTATTAGTATTAATTAATATATTTCAAAATATAGCAAAATTGGTTCAATCCGGTTCAAACCGGAATAATATGGTTTTACTGGAACCAGACCGGGAACTGGAATTGTGATTTTTTATATCCGAAACCTGGACCGGTTAACATTCCGGTCCGGTTTCGGGTTTTCTGGCATTGCCTGGTTCAGTTTTCCAGTTTGAGCCGGTATGTGCACACCCATACATGAGGCTAAAGCTGACTGCCACGAGGTCCGATTTTGCATTTCAGAACCTTGCATATGTCGATAATGTTTTAGCGAATCAATTTAAGGAGATAAAAAATTCTTCAGCAGTGACTAATATTCATGTTGAATAGGTGTTCAGTTTCCACTCTGTTCTTGTTCCATGGGTTTTCATTAATTTATTCTATGTGTTTGATGTCCATTCATAGGTCACCACCTGACACTCGAGCAAGGTCAAAGTCTAGGTCAAGATCCAGATCCAAATCCAAGTCCAAGTCAAGATCTCCCATCAATTATAGACGAAGGAGAAGATCTCGTTCCTTCTCCCCTCCACCAAGACGGTTAAGAGGGTATAGATCCAGATCACCAATTAGATCCCTCCATTTTTCAAGATTTGAGGATGAGCGCCGGTCTTATAGGGATAGTAGGTATGCCAATGACAGAGGTAGAAGGTGGGATTCTGGTAGATCATATAACCGCCGGTCACCTGTCTCAAGGAGAAATAGAAGTAGGAGTGTAACCCCTCGTGCTAGGAAGTCGTATAGGGATGATTCAGACTCTCCAAGACACCGTCATGAAAGTCCGGTTCACAAGACACACTCTTCTCGTGCTGAGTCTACGTCTCCGGAACATCGAAGGAATAGGTCATCCCTGAAGAATGATGAAAGTAAATCAAGACATAGACGACGGTCAAGGTCAAACTCTGTGGAAGTTAGTCATTCACCCAGTGATAAAGTTGGTAATGATAAACATGGAAAATCAAAAGATAGAAAAAGGAGACACTCAAGGTCAGTTTCACCACACGATGATCTGGATAGACAAAATAGATTGTCCCCTAAAACCTATGATGAAAAGAAACCAAAGCAAAACCTGCAAAGGAGAGAATCAAAGTCCAGATCACCAGATGCAAAACACCATTCAAATAGAAAGAGAGAAGATAAAGCTAGAAATAATGAGGATAGAAGGATATCGAGGTCGAGGTCAAGGTCTAGATCCCCAGAAGGAAAGCATCACACAAGTGACAAATCAGATAGAGAAAAAAAAGAGAAATCTAAGCATCATTCTAGAAAGCGTTCCATATCTAGGTCCAGATCTCCCATTGAGAAACACCACTCAAGTAGTAAGCTGAACAAGAGCAGGGAAGAGAAATCAAAGCGTCATGTGAGAAGGCAATCCAGATCAAGGTCTGTTGAAGGTAAGCGACAAAGAAGTAGTAGGAGGTCCCCAAAGCACTCAGATGAACGCAGATCAAGGCATCGGAAGCGCTCTAGATCTAAATCTCTAGAAAGCAAAGATGAACCTGAACATAATATGGATGTCGAAAATTATGAAGTGACAAGGCATGCTGATGAAAAACCTGGGGAGTTAGCTGGCGTCTTGGAGACTGATCTACGTAGTCCTGTATCAATGAAGTTGGATGGTGAAAATGGTCATCTTGAGGACTGTAATGAATGTGAGAAACAAGAGATTAATGTCTTTGAAGTTGCTGACTCAACCATAAGGGAACAAGATCATCTTAATTTAGATGCATAGGTGCAGGGGATCTAGATATTTTCTCTCATTGGACGTTGATTCATCGCTTTCTCATTCAATATTTGAGGGATGGTTATTCGAGAGTAACTTGACAGAGGATCATGTTGAAGCTTTGGTTTGAGGAGCGAGATGCCATTATGTACAAGGGAGAGGGCTATCTTACAAGGCCTTGTGGTCATTTTTGATTACTCGCTGTTCCTGTGACAAATTCGCTGTTTCTTTCTGTTGCAGGTGGTGATGATGGAAACAATCGGAGTCTGATGAAGCAATGATTTTTGGCTGGTATTAGTATTCAACAATTGTCTTTTAACAATTGTGGATCATCTGTGCAATGTTTTTATAGCAAACTATTAATTAACGTGCTGTACGGTGGAGTGTGGACTATTACCTCTATTTCGAGGTAGTAAATTTCTCTATTGTATGCCAATGCAAGGATTCGTGCTAATTCTATGTGTGGTATCTATAAATTGCCTATGAACGTTTTCTTCATCCCTGTGTTTCACTGCTATTCAGAAGGGTTCTGAGTTTGATTTGACCTCATATTCTCTTGCATATTACTGTCATTGTATCAAATAAGTTCATTATTTAATGCACTGCATTTTTTATGACACGCTGTGTTTGGTTGTGATCCATTTGTTGTAGCTCTTTAAATCTTAGTTGTGTGGGTGTTTTATTAACTAGGATTCCCGCAGGTGTTATTTTTTCTGCTAGTAGCTTGGCTAGTTTGCTATTCCGTTAAATTATAAAAAACATGCAGGATCATGCTGTTCTATGGGCGCTTGGTGAAATGAGTCAAACAGTTTATCTGATTGTTTGTGAAGGTATGCATCTGCAGAAATTGGTTCTTCCGGACATTTGCTAAAGCTTGCACAACTATCCGGCATTAGAATCATGAGTTTGAAATGTTTATGTAGGAATTTTATTGTGAAATTTAAGGTTATGATTATTCTATGCTTTGGCCCTGTCCTAATCTTCTACTTTTTTTTCTTGTTGGTACCATCTCTCCCTTTCTTTTCTTTTCTTTTCCTTTCTTTTTCTTTCGATCTTTCTTTCTTTCTTCCCTACTACTGCTTGGTTAGGTAGTCGATGCAAGTTACACAACCAGGTATTGCTGAGATGGGTAGCATTAGCATCATTGTGCTCCTTTGCGTCCAAGTATGTCAAGATTTGATAGGTTTATGTTCTTTAATGCACAGAGAATGTGAAATGCTATTCTATAACAGGTAATTCCCTTCAAAAATTAGATTTCATCATTTAGCTACATAAATGTAAAAAGGATAAGGATGTCATAGCATATCAAATGGCCAAATGTGTCGGCAGTTTGGTGTTGTAGGCTTGTATCAAGGCCATTGTCTTTCCCTGTACAGATTCAACTTAGTAGGTTATCTTAAATAGTCTTCCATTGTTGCAAAAAAATCCAGACAATTTTCCATCAATTTTGTTGTGTATCTTTATGCAAGATGTGGCTATAGCCGTTCTCAGTTCTTTCAACTTTCTAACTTTTCCCCACAAAGAATGAGTTGTGGCCCACTTGTCACATATCTTAAATTTGGGTTTTTAGTCAGCGCAAACTGTAGCGATTGTGTTCAGCTCTATCTACATGTAACTAAAATTTGTCCGCCGTTGCCCCTTCTTTAAACCTTTTGATGTACATTATACCATTTTCTTTTGTGCTCCTTGGTTTTGCTGTCAGGCAACCTCTCCCCCTCTTCCATGTCCGCTTTCTCCAACACACTGTTTTGCTTCTTTTGGTACTTTTATGCGCTTTGGTGTTGCTGTGGGCTTATTTTTCTTTTCTGCGAAGTTGAGAATGCTGGACTGCACAATTGCAAAGTGGTGGGGGGACGGACATATATAAAAAAAACTGGTTCCCATATCTAGCAAAAGACCATGACATGCATCATGATAACTGATAACTGATAAGGGCACCTATTGATGAGATCCCCAAGTGTTTACTCTCTAAGTTTTGTCATTGATTCAAAGTTCAAATCATAAGAAGTGTCTTCTTATGCAAATGAGGAGCTTGACGGCTGAGTGGACATCCTAGTGTAACTCAGAAGCGTGGAACATGACGAGTACATAACTGCTTTTTGGAAGATGTTTCGGTTTTTCAGGGTAATTTTGAAGCATGCGTAGAATTGTTGATGATGCAGCAACTGTCCAACAGCAGAGTTGTAATGATTGAATAGTGTATACAGAGGATTACAGACTCCCAAAGAACAACAGTAGTAATAATAGTAACATAATTATTATAAAAATCCAGTGTATTAATTAGAATAACAACAGTATAGACGATCTAGCTGTAAGAAAACAATTCTACATACTGAGATGACAATACAAGGGGTGAATCATGATTGATAGCTCGAAGCCTTGAACTACATGTGAGGATGCTTTTACTTGGACTGTAATTTGCCCCAGTCCAGACCAGACCAGACTTGGATAGTTATAAAAATACAAAGAAACCAGACCTTACCAGACCAGACCTGTTCAGACCAGACCAGATCAGACCAGACCAGCAAATTACAGTCCAAGTAAAAACATCCTGATTCTACAATATTTAGAAAGCTTGTAAATAAACTCTTGATTCATTAAAAAAATCAGATTCTATACACACGTTGGTGCCCGTAGGTAAATACACTTCTCAATTATCTTCTTATCTGCACTAGTAGGTAAAAAAGATATAATTGCTTAAATTTTCATTGTGTTGCGGGGAGTAAGCATGTACCGGGCCTGGGTCGGGCCTAGGCCCGGATGGGCCTCGGAGTTCTGGAACTAAGAATGAGATCGGCCCTGTTGTGGCTGGTGCCGGTGCGGGCCGGGCCACCTTCCAGGTTGGGCCAGTTTCATATTTTTTTTCCCCTGCTAATTTATACAAGTGATGCATATTAAAAACAAAGTTGAAGTGCATTTATTTGAAACAGGAACTACATTTGAGAATTGAGAAAAAAATTACTACGTACAATATGAAATACATTTTATAATAAAAATGAGGAGTGCTACATATAAAAAAATGAACGTGTATTTATTTGAAATGTGAACTACATGTTTACAAATTACAATTGAGAATTGAGGAAAAAATTAAAACATGAAATACATTTTATAATAAATTGTAAAATATTAATCAATCGGAATCTCCGCCAACGTTAGAGCCACCCTCAGTTGTTGATTCATCCATAAAGTGTTAGGATGTGGTCATGCTAAGTTCTTAAGTTCTACTTTGGGGCTTTGGGCCTTCAACCAATCCTGGTAAGATACAAGCGTCTCAAGAGAGTTTGTGCTCAATCTCGTTCTAGAATCTGTTAGGACGTTGCCGGCCGAAGTAAATTCTTCTTCCACGGCGATTGTTGAAACCGGCATTGATAGCACTTGCTTAGCCATCCGTGTTAAAATCGGGAACATTCGTTCTTTTTCTTTCCACCACTGAGTCAAAGTCTTCATCTTATTCATAATCAACAGGATATGTTATATACAAAGAAAGCTCGTTAACTGAGCTTTGTTCAGTAGCGAGAGTTGTTTTATTTTTTTTCAAAAGATTGCCAAAGACAGATCTAAAAATGGATTTTCCTTTAAGTGGATGTAATATGTATGTATTAAATAGATATTAAGTAGATAATAAGTAGATATTAAGTAGATAATAAATACAAGTAATATTATATAGTATTTATAAGTAGATAATTAATATATAAGTATATATAATAATTGTATAATTATTAAATAGTAAAATAGAATGGAGAATAAGACAATTTGAGAAGTTGAAGATGGAGAAATGGAGAATTGGAGATGATTAAGAATAATAGAATATTAGAGAGTAGAGAGTTGGGGAAGAGGTGTAGAAAAATGAATAAAAATAAGAGTATTTATAGATTTTTTTAACCCCCCCACCTCAAACGCCCGGGATCCCCCAGCCCCCACCCAACGGCTATATAGCTGTTTGGGACCGTTTGGCAACGGCTAGTGCCTTGTTTGGCTGATTTTTTTTTAAAAAGTAGCTGTTAGGTAGTAAAAAAAATAGCGGGTCAAAATTAGCGGGTACGGTTTGATGAATTCTGCACCACATGGAAACTTTCGGTATACCGTGTTTTGGTATATATACTGAAAGATTGGTTTGATAAAAGACTCATACCTTAACATACCTAAGAATTGTAATACCTAATATTTTTGATATAACACATCATACTTTTTTTGGAATGAAAATATATCGTACTATACCTTTAGAACTTTTAAGTAGAATTTAATGATAATATTGCATAATGAAATTTAACAACTTTTATCATGGCAGTAAAGTCAAATCCAACCAAAAAGGCCATGACAATTGCCTCATTATACAAAACCAGGTCTCCATACACGAATTGAAGTACTAGAACAATGGAACAAAAGAATGGTGGGTGTATAGACATTAGGGACATAGGGTTGATTTGTTAGATGCATTAATAAGTTAAAATTGATATGGGCACGTGGGCCTTGATTTTGATATTTTGGTTTTCTTCTTTGTAACTTTTTTCAAATAAGTATTTCCATCATAATTCATACATAATTTCAAACAATCATAATTTCATTCCATATCACATTTTTTTGGAAGGGGAAATTTTATTAAGGAAAAGAAATATTGAAAGTACAACATGAGGAAAAAATAAAACAAGGAAATAAAGCAAATAAAAAAGAACAAGTAGAAGAACCTAGCCCAAATTACAGAAAGAAAAATTCCTACTTAAAAAAAGGAGCCCTCGGTTGAATATTCAAAGACTCACTTGTGTTTGAAATCTTGTTCTCATACAATGCGATCTCTGATTCTTCTTTTTATACATTCTCTTTTAAACATTCAAGTTTTGTGTGGGTAAACAATTTTCTCATGTAACAAGCAAAGCTTTTTGACAAATAACCTCATTTGCATCAGAGCCCCAAAGATCGCTCTTTTGAACATTCAAGTTTTATGCGGGTAAACAACTTTCTCGTGTAACAAGCAAAGTTTTTTGTTAATAACCTTATTTGCATCAGAGCCCCAAAGATCGCTCACTGTCGAAATACAAACTCTCTTCTCATTTTCCGAGACATGGCCAAAAAATTCATCACTTGAAATAGTAGAAAATGATCCTCCTAAAACCCTTCAAAATCAAAATTTCACTTGGGAAAGTTTGTGGTGAATATCTTTATGGACAATGTGCCAAAACTGATTGTAAATTTCATCATCCACCTCACAATCTTCTAATGACCGCTTTACAGGGCCGGCCCTGAGGCTGTGCAAGCGGTGCGGCCGCACAGGGCCCAATAGTTCTAGTGTTGTTCTATGCCAAATAAAAAATTTGGCAGCAATCTGGAATCGAACTCACGCCACCTGGAAGAGTTGCTAGAAAGTTACCAACTTACCAACTTAAGTTGTTGGAAAACAGTGGTCGTTTTCAGGGCCGTCTAATGAATTTGGAGGCCCCGGTTCAAAATGTAAAAGCGGGGCCCCAAATTAATATAAAAAATTATTAAAAAATCTCAATCGAAATATTTATACTCAAATTAATGGAATACTCATTAAAAGAGAACTAAAAGAGTAAAATGACTAACGACAAAATGATGTATCTATATTAATATTAATATAATTACTAATAATTTTTTAAAATATGGGGCCCCTTAAATTTGGGGGCCCTGTTCTGGATAACCTATTAAACCCCCTAAAAAACGGCCCTGGTCGTTTTTTAGTACAAATACCTTTAATGAAACTAATAAAAGTTATTGTGTCACTATACATATATACTTTCTTATTGGTAAGCTAGCTATACTATACTACCGTACTCCATTTATACTTCATTTGTAAGTTATTTCCTTATAGTTAGCTATATCAATTTTTATTTATTTGGATTTCTTTTGTTGTGATACTCCGTATTTTTTATAGCAATCAAATTAAGTTTTTTTTTATTACATTTTATACTTACTTTTTTTATTTTTAAGTTTATTATTTTCACTACATGTGTTATATATAACACAAATTGAGTTGTAAAATTGATGTTCATTCACTTAATTGGGATATCAATTCTTAATTAAATTTTAACTCGAATTTTGAAACTTTATAGAGATTTTAACATAATTTCTGAATATGTAACTTATAATTACTCTGTTATAAAATTGAATTAATTATTAATAGAGAGGATATAACTTTATCATGGAGATGGAGGATATAGCATATAGATTATATATAGTTCTCGTTGAACAAACCACAGTTAATCAACCACTTAGCACTTAACTGGCCCCCTTCATAACATAGGGAAAGTAGAGGAATGTAGGGTCAGTGGCACCCTCCTTGTAGTAAGCGAACACAAGACTGCCATCATCTGTACCGCTCTCGCCGGCAAAAAAATGCAAATCCTTAAGCTTTGCAAGCATGTACTTGGTTGCTGCCTCAATTTTCTTTTTGAACTCCTTTAGTTCAGTTCCGGTCAACTTGTCAGATATTGCTTTAATGTATTCCTTCATATATACAACAAAGTTCTTCTTATCATCAAAGGTGGCTTGCTCCTGGAGTCTAAACGTATCAACGATGTCAACAACCTTAGTGGCTGTGTCATTCACACCCTCATCCTCTTCGCCACCTTCTGAAGATGGGTTTGCTCCAATATCTACCTCAACAGCTCCTTGAACAACCCACTTTCCCTCAACTTCCCATAGCACTCCTCCTTCAATTTCCTTGTAAGGAAATGAATCAGAGAAGTTTGTCATTAGTCAAAATATCCTAATGATCAACATGGCGCTCCGCAAGGGCTCTCTGGGATGGTGTAAACGGATGTTAAAGCAGAGAGGCGCCAAGAGGGATTTGCTTCATCACAATTTCGTAGTAGTTTATAATTTATATATCTTAATACAATTGTTATGTCTTCGATGGAGCCCTATATACCTTAGAGTTTTTTTTTGAAATAATGACAATATGATTGAAATAAAGATAGCGGGAAAAAAATAAGATTTAGTAACTACAATATATAGAAAAGATCAGGTCCCTCCTGAGGGACGGGAGGGACCGTCCGACCAAGGCCATCAGAGGCCCTTCCCGGTGGAATTTTTTGATGAATTTTTTTGAGCATGTTTCTCATCAAGTCTAGTTTATCCATACCAAAGTTCAGCTAAAACTTCAACCGGGAAGGCACTCAAATGATTTTTGGAAGATAACTGCGTTTTATATGTATATAAACTGCGCAGTTAACTTCCAAAAATCATTTGACTGTCTTCCCGGTTGAATTTTTAGCTGAAATTTGGTATGGATAAACTAGACTTCATGAAGAACATGCTCAAAAAATTCCAGCAAAAAATTCCACCGGAAAAGACTCCAAATGGCGAAGGCCGGACGGCGGGTCCTGTCCCTCCGGCTGGACAGGATCAGGCCTCCTACAATATATATAGTAATTTTAGTGACCATGATTCATGATTGTGTTCAATCTAGCAATGTAGTGACTATGCATGGTAACTATAGTAGTATTTTTGTCTATTAGTTATACTTCGGTAATATTAATGGAAAAATCTCTCGTTTTTTTGACCGGGTAGCGGGGGCACAATTTTTATCTTAAGTACTAATCCTAAACTTCGGGGTCGGAATCAGGGGCACTTGCCCCCCTAGGACCCCCTAGATCCTTTATTGTTCTCAACAGTTCTTAAATGAATTGCATGTTTAACGGGTCGGGCTAACCTAAAACAATTGTATGTGAATCTTTTTATCACACTTTTGTGTTTATGTGACATTATATAACCACACATTAAGCTTTCTAACAGAAAAACGGGTTTTTTAGTATATCGTACATTTATGTGTTTGGTTTTGATTTTAAGTTTCTATAAAACCAAATTACTATAACAGTGTTTAATACCTCATCATTTGTTTTGCTCGATTTTTTAGTCTCTTATAATATATTAGATGTTAAATGCCAATATCTTTGATTGAATTGAATTTCAAACATGTAATTTCCTCATTAAAAATGTTATGAAGGTGACATGTCATCACTAGTTTGATCGACCATATATACTTGATCGTTTATCGGTTGATTTGATTTTTGCAAATACCAGTTAATTTTCATTTCCCGATATAGGTCTAGTATTGACTTTTGAATTGCGACATACTCCGTACATGTGATTATGTGAATAGTCTGAAAAGCAAATAAATTTCAAGGGAAAAGAGTCAGATAAGTCCTCGAACTTACATAAAAAGATTAAATAAGTCCTTGTATAGGAGGCTCTATCCGGCCGTCGTCATTTGGGGCGCTTCCCTGTGGAATTTTATTTGATGAATTTTTGTGAGCATCTTATTCATTAAGTCTAGTTTACTCATACTAAATTTCAGCTAAAACTTCAATCGAAAAGACATTCAAATTTTTAGCATTCAAATTTATAGTTCTAACTTCCAAAAAGTAAGAAAGAATACCATAGACCTCATAAAATAAAAGATGAATGATAGATAAAAAAATTAAAGATGAAATGATAGGTAAATGAATAAACTAGCTAGGAAAATTAAACATTAATAAACTTCAATTTAGAAATGCATTGATATGTTTTTTATGCAACTCAGAACGAAAAGTGCAAGTATCTTACTCCGTATAAAATAAGATTGGATAAAATATCGTTTTACACGTGTGTTTTGAAAATTTTCAACTAAATTCACAAGGATGGATATTATTTTATTCAGTGGAGCAAGTGGGCTAAATTAAAATACATCACTGGCCCCAATTCATCTACTTACCGCACATAAAGCCCAAAATATACACGTATAATTATTTATTTTAAGGGAAAATCGCATTTTTAGTTCCTCAAACAGTCGTCATATTGAAATATCAGACCTGTATTCTCAAGTTTGTAAATGTCTCCCCCTCAGAAATACATGTCCGACATTTCAATATGGTGACTATTTTAGGAACTAAAAGTGCAATCTTCTTTTATTTGAATTAGATAAAATAAATTAGTGAATACCTTTCAAATCTTTTATGCAAGTCAAGTTACAAATGATGTCACCGAAACAATGATCACTTTCAAATAAATCAGTGCTCATGTTTTTGTGTGTTTATTTTCAGAATATTATTATACGGAGGTATGAGTAAAGGATATATAGCTGAATTCGCAGATGAAGCTAAGGCTTTGTTTGCAACCATTTGTGCTTAAATAAAAACATTTTTTGGAAAAAGTAATTAGTAGTAAAAGTTGGTAGTGTTTGGTAAAATAAGTGCTTTTTGTGTAATAGAAAAAGTAAAAAGTAGATTCTACACGAAAGCTGAGAAAGTAAAAGTTGGTAGTGTTTGGTAAAATAAGTGCTTTTTTCTTTTTTAAAAAAAGCCAAAATCACTTTTTTTAAGTGATTGTAAACAAGCCCTAAGTGTGGATGTAGCCAATAAAATTCAGTCCGGAAAATGGGCATGGGATGGATCGGCCAGGATATAACGGTCAATTTGTCTAAGCACGGTGCTAGAACGTGAAGGTAGCATGAATCGTGGTAAGCAGTCATTTAATCAAAACATCCGATAGAATTTGATGTCAAAATACAATGTGACATAATGGAATTGAAGCTATCAAAACTCACAAGTACGCATAATACCAAATTTCATAATTTTGAAATCATTATTAGACTATTTCATTACTCTGCTCAACTCCACCACTATAATCATTATTCATATGCTTAATGCATACACTCTCCTAATAATTCATGTATGCATGTTAAATCAGTGGCGGAACTAGAAAATTATTTTAAGTGGGGCACGTTGACATATTGATGTTCTTTTAATAGTATGTGTACTTATGTGATGGTTTTTGTAATGGTTGACGTAACTTCTTTGATGTAGTGGGAGGGTGTGTATGATCCCTTTTCCAAAATAGACTCTTGGTTGCTTATTATTGAAATAGTATTGGCTTATAAAGATCACATGTAAATGTTGTGAGAATATATGGTTTGTTTTTAGAGACATCGAAGTTATTGTTTACTTTGATAAATAGATCATTTTCAATATCCATTTTTTTTTATATTTTCTGCTGACCGCACTAGAAGTCCTTTTGCGGGCTTTGCATTAGAGCAGATCTCATGGCCATTTTTTGTTGTCAATTCTATACTAAATTTTAAACAAACAACATGCTATGAGTGGAATAAATATCTTAGCTAGCTGCATGTTCAAGCTTTAATATTAATCTTAAGTATCTTTTTTTTTGTTGAATTTGATTGTGTTGGGGAAAACACTGCCCCCGGCCTGATCCATGATCACAAGTTCAAATGACTTTTATACACTCACCCACACACCCGTAATGTAAAGTCTTCATCTGACAATAACACTTTGTATTATACATTTTAAATGTACAAGAGATGTTTTACAAATAAACGGGTAGCTCACCTCACTCTTTGTATATGAGACTACTTCACTCTCACTGTCTCACACCCCCTCTCTCAAGGACTCACTCACTCACTCATTCAATAGCTCTCCTCAAGGCTCTCTCTTTCTCTCATCACTTGAGGAGGCTCTCTCTAGGCTCTCACATGGCTCACTCACATAGCTCCCACTCAATGCCTCCTCATGGCTCACACCCTTATGAATGAGTCCCACCTTATTTATACAACTCTCCTCATAACTTCTGTAGATCTTTAATTTCTATACAACACTACACTTCTAGATTCTTCTATGAAGTGTTCACAAGCTTCTCTAATCTTCTAGAAGGATCTATAGAACTCCACATCGCTTGAGAATGTTTTATAGGCATCCATACACTTCCGCACGATTCTAGAGAATTCTACACTTCTCTAGAAAACTCCACAATGTTTAAAAATGTTCTACATTCTTCCACACGCTTTTAGATAATTCAACGTCTCTCTAGAAAGCTCCAGAATATTCTAGAACATTCAATACGTTTCTACACACATCTAGAGAATTCTAGACATCTTCACAATATTCTAGAATTCTCATTAACTCTCAATTAAGGAGGGAACCCAACAAATTGCATTGAGTTTTGGGTGTGCATGTATTTATTATTGATAATTGTAGTTTTTCATAAAAGCATTTGGCAGAATGTTTTTAAGGATACAAGTATGCTAAAGCCTACTTATTTCGAACGTGACGGTTAATGCTACAATATTTATCCATAACAATTCTTGGAGTCATATACATACTTGCAGATTGATGATGTGATTGGTCAAGCAGCCCAAGAGGTCATTATTTGTTGTTGTTCAAGGAATGTACTTAATTTTTTGCTATGTTATTAATCTACTTAATTATGACTCTAACTATATCTTACACCATCCACTTTGCACCTAAGCTAAATGAAAATTGATGTTGGAATGTTGCATAAACCAAGCACTTGAAAATAATCTCAATCCGTAGAAGTATTTTAATTCGTGAATTTCACTAAATTAGACCAGGCCAATATAATTGGCAAAATACTACTCCGATCCATCCCAAAAAATAAGAATACAAAGCAAAATTAATTAATATAGCCAATGGATACCTCATTGCAAAGTTAAGTGCATACAGACCATGGATCAGCCTTGGCACCTTCCAAGAACTTATCAAATGTTCACTTCTTGAATTCACATATTCACTTCTTTCTAGAAATCATCGGAGGCAAAAGACTGGTGAAATAAAGAATAAATATATTTGCTAAAATCTCAAACTTTGATTAGAATCATCGATTATAATATAAGCTTTGATATGATTACAAAATATCATTTACAACTCTCAAAGTCCACAATTTATTCATCGATATGGTAAGAATAGAAAGCTCAATTTAAAAATTAGGGTGAATTGCATGTACACGAACTCGTGTGAATCTAAAAATTACGTAGAAAAGAATCACAAAACGGAAGAAGTATGATTCGAGATAAAAAGTAAGGTTTAGATTGAACGTAAAAATAAAATGAAACAAATCTATTGCTAATCTAATTCATTAATTAATTGTTGCCTTTTAATTAATGAAGCACAAATCCTTACATTAAATTAAATAAGAGCAAAGGGGCAAATAAGCCCACATATCAACAAAAAAAGATCAAATAAGCCCTAATTTAGAAGGTTCTGTCCGGTCATCGCCATTTAGAGCAGTTCCCGGATGAATTTATTGAGATATTTGCCATTACTGGATATGTGCTACATCAACGCGTGGCCTGCTGACATAGCAAGTAACCCAAAAATGGACTCAATTGAACGTTTTTACAAAGTTCAGGGATTTGATTGATCCTTTTAAAAGTATGAGAAACTAATTGACATTTGAATGAAAGTACGAGAACTAATTAATCGACAGTTTTTTTTAATAGAAATTACTTCAAATAGGACTAAAAGTATGGCAAAAACTCAAAATATGACTTGCTATGTTTTTTATTCCAAAATAGGACCATAGTGGTCCTATTGGAAACATACTCATTTATTTCTTCCATTCTTACCCCTCCTTTAAATATTAGTAAAAGATAGCTAAAAGTCATAATTAAATGTTTAATTCATAATAAATTCGAAAAAATTTCAATAATTCGTAGAAAAATAATAAAAAAATTAATAAAATTTTTATAAAATAAAAAATAAGAATTTTTTTTTAATTTTTTTTTTGAAAATTAATAAAAAAATAGTAAAACTCCATAAAAAAAATTAAAAAAAATATGGATACCTTTCCCTCCGCCTGTACTACCTCCCAGAACCACCACCTCCGATCGGTGTAAAAAATGCCACTTTTTTTTTTAAATTCCACAAAAATGGCATATTTCTCTATGAGAATGCCAACATTTTCATTCTGCCAACTTGAATCCTTTTGACTTTTGCCAAAAATATGGCATTCATAATTTTTTTGGCATTTTTTTACCCCGGTGACAGGAGGTGGTGGTACCGCCTCCCTGCACCACCACCTCCGACCGTTAAAAAAAATGTCATATTTCCTACAAACTTCCATTTTTTTCGGAAAATGCCAAAAATATGGCATATTTCTCTTTGAGAATGCCAACATTTTTTTTCTTCCATCTTAAATCATTCTGAATTATGCCAAAAATATGGAATTCATAATAAATTTGGCATTTTTTCCCCAAATGACTAGAGGTGGTGGTGCTGGGGCGGTATAGGCGGCGGTGACAAAAAAAATATTTTTTTGATTTTTTTTTAATTTTTTTTAATTTTTTTTTTTTTAATTTTTTTTAAAATTTATTATTATTCAAAATATTTTTATTAATTTTTTGGTATATTTTACGAATTTTTTATTATTTTTTATTATTTTATTATGAATTAAAACATTCCAATAGGTATAAGGATATATTTGTCCAAGACAAACATAATTAGTCATATGGAAACATAGTTTATTTTTTGGTCCTATTTGTGCAAAGTGAATGACTTTTAGTCCTATTTTGATAATTTAGTATACACGCTAATTAACAATTTACGGAGTACTATTACTCGTATTTCATTTTTAAATTACACGAATCATTTTTTAAAGTACACATTTCATTCGTGCATACGTACGGAGTACTTATTACATTTTCTTGTTGATTAAGCTACTTAGCATTAGGAAACAACAGTGTTTGTTGATTGAGCTACACGGATACTAATTAATTGAAAGAAATGATTAGGAAAGTAATTGTATATAAATATCTACCGTACGTTTATCTCTCATTACATTCTTCCACTCACCTAATTGAGATTCACCTAGCTTTAAACCTCGATCATATGGATTATATGTGTAATGAGTTGGAAGAAAGCTTCCAGTGCCACAAACATGTCGTCCGTAGAGCCACTTTTGAGGTTCGGAATCCCGACGCAACCAACCGCCGTCCCTCCCGAGCCACCGTCACCACAATCGATTTCACGTGCCGCAGCAATCATCGTTTCACCGCCTATGAAGACGGAGCCAAAGATTCAGCCACCGACGTAGTTCCTCGAAAATTTTTGGAAACATCTTCCAGCATTGAATTCGCCGACATCGCCAGCTGCAAACTGGGCGAAATTCGGGCCGCCATTCGCCGCAAACTGTTCAGCTTGGGTGGCGGCATTTTTGATAAGTGGAATGAATTTGAAGGCACCGTCTCCGGAATAACGGCGGCAGTCCGCGACCTCGGCGCGTGCAAGGTGGCGCGCGTGTTCGTGGACGTGACGCTATTCCACATTCGGAGGGAGAGAGAGTTGCTCCCGGATCTGAAGTCGTTGACCGGGGATGCGGTCACGCTACCGGGCAGCCACGGCGGCGGAGAGAAGAGTTTTTGTGCGGTGTGTTTGGAAGGTCTGAAATTAAAAGCACGGGAAGTTGTAAAGACGCCTATCGCCGCGCGTAGGTTTCACGCCAAAAACATCCGAAAGTGGCGGCGCAAAATCCATCAGTACCCACTTTGCCGCTCCGAGCCGACGTTGACTGAAACGGCGGTGAAAGAGAATAAGGAACGCGAGTTTTATGCGGGGTATTCCGGCACGACTTCGCCGCCGCCGAGTTCTCTTCCTTTGCCATCCTTCTTACGGGAAAAAAGTGAAAAAGATCTTAGGAAGTTTAATGCGGGGTTTTCCGTCATGACTTCGCCGCCGCCGCCGAGTTCTCTTCCTTTGCCTTCCTTTTTACGGAAAAAAAGTAAAAAACATCCGAGGATATCGATATCAACGGTGACGCTACATCTGTTTTATGCCGGGTTTTCCGTCATGACTTCGCCGCCGCCGAGTTATCTTAGGATATCGAAATCAACGGTGATGCTACTTCTTGCTTACGGCGTCTTACGGCATGTAGGGTGTAGATCAGATTTTTCAATTTGTATTTTCCATTATTTACAAACTCGTATCCGTTAGTTGTTGTAATGGATGGCCGGGTTTCAAATTTGTATTTACAGTTAATTTCCCTGCAAAGTAATATTTAGATCCCTTCTCTTTTAGTCGTAGTATTTGTGGCATTGCATTATTCAATTTTTAATAATGCTCTAATTTTTATTTACCTACAGTTAATTTCCATTTCAAATTTGTATCCTTTCTCTTTTACTTCGTAGTATGTATTATTTCCGTTCTTTAATAAGTGTAACATTACAAATTTTTACACTATTCACATGTTCTACTTTGACTACATTTTATTTATTGATGTATTAATATATATTTTTGAAAAAAATATTACTAAATTTGTCTCATTATAAATTTTTAAAATCTGATTTTTTGATTTTTTTACTAATAGAGAGTTATATATATTAATGGTCAAAGTTGTGTCTCGGTAAATGTGAAATGTTGAGTGTTGACTTATTTAAGAACGTAACGGAGGTAGTAATTATTAAGCACAATCCAAAGTATTTCAATTCCATTTCGAATATACTTTTGAGAGTAGTATGGCATGCAAGCGCCATATATATAAGGTAGACTCAAATTAAACTTATTTGTTGAAAAAAATGAAAATAACAAGTATGTATCTAGCTAATTGGATTACATACCTTCATCACAAGAATAAGAGGCACATACAGTTGAAGCGTTTTTGCTCAGATCTAATTAATTGCTCCATAATAGAAATGGAGAGCTATTGTCACGACTCAAAGAGCTTTCGATACCATGACCATACAATCCGTGAATCCCAGGTGCAAAACATAATATTGGCATTGTTGACATGGTTCCATGGTCCTGCGGTCGGGCGACTTGACATGCATGATATTGGCATTGTTTTCAAGTTTTAAATATGACATTATTTTTCCAAATTTGGCATTATTTTCCGAGCATGCATGACAACAGTCGGCGGTGGTCCAGCGATGGTGGTTAGCAGTGGTCACTTTCGAACGGGATAATCGTAACTGGTCACACATGTTAACTGTAATGATCCGATTGAATAACTCGGGTTATTTAACTTAAATGGTCGGGCGGATAATTGTAATTGGTCATGTAAGTATGTAACTATAACTGGTAACTGTATTCAGATGGTCACTATATCGGGCTCAGTTTCCCCGAACCCTATTTACTAAAATTTGAGTAATAAGTTGTTGTTCTAATCTGAGTAATAATAGAAAAAGTATTTTTTTAACGCAGTAATGATGTTAATTTTTGAGCTCAGCTTTCACGTAATAATTAAACTTGAATTGGCATTCGGACAATAATATTACTCCGTACTAAACAAAGATTATCAGACAATAAAGAGACGTACTTTTTTTTATTTAATTTCAAAAATGGGACTAAAAATGAGTATAAGAACTATTATACCCTTATTAAGTCCAACTGACTGATATAGGGGTTTTTTATTTGAATATTACTAATTTTGAACCAGTTACAAAAAACGTGATCACTTTTAAAAAGGACAAAAAGTGATCAAGAAAGTCATATTAATGTCAATCCAAATTTTAATTTCACTATCCTGTTTTAATGTCACTATCAAATGTCACTGCGGCCACCGCCTGTGTCACTTTTATGTCACTATCGATTTTTATGTCACTTTTATATGTCACTATCGCCGCCAAACGTGTCACTGTGCCGTTAACCATGTCACTATGTCACCGGAAATTTTTCCGATGACTTTTTCTGGTGAAATGTTATCATCCTCCACAATTTCCGCTCTGTGAAACCGCCGCCGCAATGGATGAGACACCTACTGCCCCTACCATACCCCCGACCCTCCCTTGGTCTCCCTGAGCTGCTCAACCCCCTCCCCAGCTGATATTCATGTAATTTCTGATTGTATGTTTGCATTTTTAACTAGTTTTTATTAGTTTTAGTTGTGGAAATTACACACTTTTGGTGTAATAGTTTAGTTTGTAAAATATTTGTAATTTGTTTAGATTAGGTTTATTCTGAGCTCAAACAGGTCCATGATCACTCAAGGGACCATTGGTGAACCTCAAAAGTGGAAGGAAGGTGCAAAAATGCAAGACAAAAAGTGAAGATCTTGTTTTTGGTCTGTACCCGGTCGGGTATGACCTATACCCGATCGGGTACCTTGCTGAAAATCAAATCGGATCGCACCCAAAGACAAAGCAACATGCAGAGAAGATTTTGACCACGTTCGGATGTCATACCCGATCGGGTGGCCGACATGCCGATCGGGTATGACCCTATTTTCCAGCTTCGAGGAAGCTGCATAGTGTACCCGATCGGGAGCTTTCTATACCTGATCGGTTACACACTCCTGCATGCTCCATTTTCCTATAAATAAACCCCTTTCCTTCCCACAAAAATGACCAATTCACATATACTTTTTAGCTCAGTTTAAATTAGTGTTTTCTTTATATTTTCTATCATGTTTAGTCTCCAAATGAGGAGCTAAACTCTTCCATCTTGGTTTTGCTACTTTGAAGCTTAATGACTTTGTAAGTTGTGAGTTATTATCTTTAATCTTCTTCCTTGAATATTAATTCTTCCTTTACATACTATTTCTATATCAATGTTAGGGAGTGTTACTAAGATGACAATTAGTTAACATCTTGACATTAGTTATAGTAATAGTTATTTCTTCCTCTATGTTAATATTGGGGAGTGTTACTAAGATGACAATTAGTTAACATTTTGATATTAACTATAGTAGGATTCATCTTCTTTAATATTCTTCCTTGAGTATTAATTAATTCCTATTCATATTTCATATTAATATTTTGAACATTACTTAAAGGATCAACTAGTTTTGTTTCATATATTAATTATTACTAGAATCGATCCATGAATACGCTTGTTAATCGTTCGATCGTTTCACTATAGTAAACTTGAGTTATTAATGCATGCGTTTCATGGTTAATAAACCAAGGGGAATTAATTATGTTAATTAAACCAATAAACCGCTTGTGTTGAGGTTATCGATCTCAATCGTTTTCATCTTGATTTTATTGCTACTGTCGGGTTAATATACGGCCTATATTAACTCGGTAGTAAGTTTTATTAATGAACGCGTCTCGTTATTAATAACTACCCTCGATGAACTGGATATACCCCTCGATTGAGTATTCGAGAGGAAGATAGTTAAAGATATAACCGGGATCGACGAACATTTCATTAAGTTGATAAAAGCAAAACCAAGCCTTCATCTATTATTAATTAAACCACATAAGTCATTCAACTTGTTGTTTTAATACTCTTAAGTTCTTCAACAAACTAACCCCCCCCCCCCCCCCCCCCCCTTGTTACAAGTTATATAAAAGAAAAGTATTCCTTTCCCTGTGGATACGAACCTTACTACGCTATACTACGTATAAGTAGTGTTGTATTGTATTATTATTTTGACGCACATCACGACAAAGTGCACGTCAAATTTGGCGCCGTTGTCGGGGAAAGGCAATTTTTTTTCTTTTTATTTTCTTTCAAGAAAAATAAAAAAAAAATTAAATAAAAAAAATAAAAAAAGAAATCTTACTCTTCTATTTTCTGAGCTTACATGAGTTATGAGTATATGGATACCAACACTTCATCCTTAGAGAGTCAAATTTCCTTCTTGACTTCTCTAATAAAGGAATTTACCTTAAGCTCAAAAGCTCAAAATGCCAAGACATGCAACATTTGCATGTCTCACAGGCATCTTACGGATTTCTGCACAAAGCTCCAAGATGAATACCTTGAACAAATTGATGATGTTGGTTACGAAAGGGATGTACCTCACATGAGGTATGATCCGTTCTCCAACTCTAACATGTCTACGGAGGATATGGTCCGGGCTATTGCTACCAACATGACCACCATGCAAAAATAACATGGTGCAATTCCAGAATAAGACCAAGTCTAACATTTTAAACTTGGAAACTCAAATGAGTCAAATAGTCGGAGCCGTGAGTAGGCTTGAAGCAAGGAATTCAGAAAAACTTCCCTCTCAAATAGAATGTGATCCTAAACAGCAAACTTTTGCAATCACATTGACAGATGAAAAGGAATTGCAAAAGGAGATCCAGAATCCAGAAGAATTAGAAGAAGAAAAAGACACGGAGCTCCAGCTGGTCAAAGAAGAGGATGAGCCGAGTTTTAAGGTCAAATATCTATCCTTATCATTCTTTGAGACACCCCATCAGTTCTAAAAACTTTGAGGGAAACTCATAAAATTGAAAAGGAGAGTGACAGTTTTGAAATTCTCAGCGAAATTGAGGGATCCAAACATCCATTGACCATGTTAAACGATAATTTCTTTCCCTCACTCTCACCACATAAATCAATGAAAATCTGGATATTTGACCCTGGAAAGATTTTTAAAGTGAAGGGTCAGAAAATTGAGCATTTCTATGAAAGTCCTAGGAATGAAAATCTCAAGAAGGTAAATTATCACGATCCAAGCTTGAACGACTGAACACAATGATGGCGTCCTGCCGCGACGTAAACTAAGGCGCTTCTTGGGAGGCAACCCATGCTAAGGTACGCATTTTTTCATCTTTTCTTTTCAATTTTTGTTTTTGAATGTCAACTTTGAGAGAATGGGGAAAAGTCTCAAAAGAAAACAAAGGGAAATCATGTTTTGAAAGCCTGGGAAAACCTCCGATCGGTCATCGTCACTTACCTGGTCGGATCCATGCCAAAAAGAGGATGAAAATGGACAAAATCACACCCAGGGTAATGTACCCGATCGGGCCCCACTACTCCACCCGATCGGGTACAAATGAAAAAGGCAGGGTTCAAATTAATTTGTTCAATTCATTGAATTTTGTAGGTGAAAATT